CAAGAGGACCAAAAAAAAAACGGAATTATTTTTTGGAGGGCAGACCCTTCGTAGTACAGGCTTCCCCCCCCAGGTAAATGTTCTAGGAACCCACTGGCATCAGTGTACCAGATAGTGTTGTTGTGAGAGGCTGTTTGGTTTCAGTGAATTGTTTTTTTTTGGATTCTTTAACATGTTTGCCCATTTTATAATGGGTGATTTACGAGTGCACCTGCCCACACCATGCTGAGTGTTCAGCAGTTTTTGATAAAAAATGGAATGGTCTCTGTGCCCCACTCTCCATATTCACCTGATCTCACCCTGAGTGACTTTTTTTGTTGTTTCCCTGGATGAAGAAAGTCCTCATAGGGAAACAATTGGCCAGTGTGGAAGAGGTGAAACAAAAATGGCAAAAGCATCCAAAATTTATAAATTCAAAAACTGTTTTGAGCAATGGGAAAGCATCTCGATGAGTGTATTGCATCAAATGGAGAGTACTTTGAATGTGACTGAAGGTTAAACACGTAAGAATAAATTCCCAATTTTTTATAAATAAATTCTAGTTTTTTGGGGGGGATCCCTTCTCATATGAAGAATCTGTAGTGCTGTTTCCTTAATATTAGTAGTTTTTCCCCATGACTGGTCTAGTTATAGGTTGATTAATTTTATCAAAATTTTCAAAGCAAATAGCTTTTGGTCTTACCAAGTTTTCTCTATTATCTTTTATTTTATTGATTTCAAGTTCTTATTATTTATTCTTTCTACTTCTTTGAGATTAACTTGCTCTTCCTTTTCTAGTTTCATAGGGTGGAACCTTAGATCGTGGTTTTTGACCTTTCTTATTTTCTGTACAAATATTTAAAGCTATAATGTTAATTCTAGGCAGTATTTTAGCTGCACCCTACATACTTTTATATGCTTTCATTATCATTCAGTTCAACATATTTTCCAAATTTCCCTTTGATTTCTCCTTTGATCCATGTGTTATTTAAAATAGTGTTATTTGATTTCTAGATATTTGGGTGTTTCCAAATACCTTTTTGTGTTGTTTTCTAATTTAATTCCATTGTGGTCAGAGAACATATTCTGTATGAGTTCAGTCGTTTAAAATTTATTGACTTGTTTTATATTTCAGTATATGGTCTTTACTAGTGATTTTTACATGCACAGTTAAAAGTAATGGGCATTCTGCTGTTGCTGGTGTAGTGTTCCGTAAATGTCAACTAGTTGATCTCATTATTAAAGTTTTCTACACCCTTACTGACTTTGTTTGCTTATTCTATCAACTGCTGTAAAAAGGGTATCGACATCTCTGACTCTAATTGTGGAATTTATCTATTTTTTTTGGTAGATGATCAGTTTTTGCTTCATGTAGTTTGTAGCTTTGTTATTAGGTGCATACACATTATAGTTGTTATTTAATCTTGGTGAATCAACCCTGCTGATATTATAAAACGTCTTTCTTGTCTTGAAGTCTTTGTCTGAAATTAATGTAACCACTTCAGATTTCTCATGATTAGTGTTTGCATATTATTTCTTTTTCCCTTTCTTTACTCTTAACTTACATGTGTCTTTATATATGCATAAAACATAGTTGTTTTACTTGCTCTGCCCTTAATTGGGTGTTTAGAACATTATGTTTAGTGTAATAATCTACATGATTAGCTGTACGTCTAACACCTTATTTCTTTTGTTTGTCCAACTATATTTCTTTTTTTTCTTTTTTGGATTAATTAATATTATTCAGTATTCCATTTATCCATTTTACTGGTTTATTAACTACAATTCCATATTTTTTTCAATGGTTGCTTTAGGGTTTATAGCATTTTAAAAAATATATACTACTTCAAATAAAATGCAAGAATCTTTTAACCATATACTTCTGTGTCCCTCATCCTTTTATTATTGTTGTCATTCACTTTACTACTACATGTCATAAGATCCACGATATATTATATTTGCTTTTGATAGTTTTAATTATCTTTTAAAGAAAAAAGTCTTTTATTTACAGTATCTTCTAAAACCTGTTACTAGCTTTCTGTTTTAGTCTCTTTTTTTTCTTTTTTTAAAAATTGTAAAGATGTGGGGTACAATTCAGGGTTAGGTATACAAATGTTGATTATGCAGGTACCCTTGTTGATGAGGTATGCCCCTCCTCTCCAGCAGTGTCCCTCAACTGCCAATCCCAGCCCCCTGTTTTAGTCTTAATTCTTAAACTTATTCAATTAAGTTATATATATATGTGTGTGTGTGTGTGTGTGTATCTATCTATCTATCTATCTATCTATCTATATATATATATATATTTTTTTTTTTTTTTTTTGAGTTGGAGTCTCACTCTGTCACCCAGACTGGAGTGCAGTGGCTGCTCCCGGCCACCGCAGCCTCTACCTGCTGGGCTCCGGCGATCCTTCTGCCTCAGCCTTCCGAGTAGCCAAAATTACAGGCATGAGCTACCACATCCAGCTGATTTTTTGATTTATTGTAGAGATGAGGTCTCGCTGCCCAGGCAGGTCTCGAACCCGCGGGCTCAGGCAGTCCACTCACTTCAGCCTCCCAAAGGCACGGGATTACAGGCTGAGCCACCGAGCCCGGCAGTAATATATATTTTATTGGTCACATTTTTATCATAGTGCTTACGTTGAATTTTGTTTACAAACCTAGAGCACACTAGATAGTGAGCTTCCAGGGGAGTGATCCAATGTTATTTATTTTTATATTTCTAGTATTTAGCAACATGTCTGGTTTAAAAAAGATATATATGAAATAGGAAACATCATAAAATATATTTAGCTACTATTTTAAGAAACAAGTGAACTATACTCTGTGGTTTAAGATTTGGGATTTTACAAGAAAAAAAATTCATAATTCATTTTAAAACACTTGTCTGGGCCGGCCATTGTACCGTGCTCCTGGTTTTCAAAGGCTGTGACCAGAGATTGAGAACACAAAAGCTTCAGTGTGTCTACTGAAAAGTGAAACAGGCACTAGAACTTACAGAAATCCTGGTTAGATTTATTCTGAGCCAAGTTTGAGGACTTATGCCCAGAAACACAAACTTAGTACAGACTGAGAATGTGTCCTGTGACACAGTATATATGCAAGGGGGGAACCCCAAAAAACCTGGAATTCTTTTTTAATTTTTTATTTGTTTAGGATGGGCCCCATGTAGTACACTCAGAATTTGTTTCTCCGGGTCAATGATCAATCAAAGTTTTTATCTGGAAGTTCTGAAAAGGTTGCATCACGATTTGTGGAAGAAATGTCTCAGGTTGTGGCAAACAGGCGACTGGTTCTTCCTCCGTGACAATGCACCTGCCTACACCACACTGAGTGTTCAGCAGTTTTTGACCAAAATTGGCATGACCCTGGGCCTCACCCTCCCTATTCACCTAAACTCACCCTGACTTTTTTTTCTTTCCCCGGATGAAAAAAGTCCTCAAAGGGAAGCATTTTGCTGATGTGGAAGTGCTGAAACAAAAAACAGAAGCACTAAAAGGCATCAAAATGGAACACGTTCCAAAACTGTTTTGAGCAGCGGGAAAAGTATCTCAACGGGTGTATTGCATCAAATGGAGAGTACTTGGAAGGTGACTGAAGTTTAACATGCAAGAATAAATACTCAAATTTTTTATAAATAAGTTATTTTTTGGGGGGGGTCCCCTGTACACTTTCTAACAGGGTATATGTGTGGCACAGATACTGGGAGAAGTAGTGAGTAAAGAAAGTTACATTCTTGTGACTGATGGCTGCTTGGTGATGCTATTCATAAGGTAAATATGCAGTTGGGTTGGTAGGAAGAAAGGTTAGGCTTCTTAGGGTCTGGTGGAGGGTGACTGATTCCATCTTGTCTACATCTGATAAACAGGTTTATAACTAGTATCTGTCAGTGAAATATTTAACAAATTTCCATTACACAGGCAAGAAATTACCTTTAGTTTATAGGCTTAGGTTTTATTATCCATGTGCTTGACTGCAGTTATCATGGGCCACTGTTAAAATTTTCACAAATTTTGAATTTTCCATGATCTGACATGTGCAATACATAACACAACTAGTTTTCTACATAATCACTCAAGCCCCAGCTAGCTCAATTCTCCAGGGTCTCAGCTTTAGAAGATCTCAGTCCACAAAGGAGCCTGGGAAGGAGCTGCCAAAAGTCAGGAGATGACAGAAATGTGTGGTGTTACAGAACACAAAAGAAAAGGTGTCTCAGGATGGCGGGCAGAGTCAGCTGTGTCTAAACAGGATCTGGATTAAATAAATCAAAACTTTAAAAGTGTCCTTTGGATTTTGTGACAAGTGCAGGAATGCAGGTGCTAGTGGCTGAAATGAGGCTGCAGTGGCTTTGGGGGAAGAGGAAGGTGAGAAAGAGAGGAGGGTTTTGGGAAACATCATGGGCTTGGTGGGAGAGGAAGGGAAGAGAGAGACAGGGAAGAGAGCAGAGGCTTCTTGGGGAGGACTCCCCACTTCATACCTCTTTTGCAGGGTCAGTGGGGTCCTGACCTCCAGGTGCTGGCCTTCCTTGGGAGGAGGGGTGGCCCCAGGGTCCCGGATGCTGATGTCAGGGGAGCAACTCCCTCAAGTCTCCTTGTACGCGCGGACGTCGCGCAGGCTCTGAGTTTGTGCCACGCCGAGTGCTCTTTCGACGCCACCTGGGAAACGCACGCCCTTTCCCCAACTGCCGAGGCTCCCACGTGGACCTCCCGGCCATCTGACAGCACCGGAAGGGAACGCCACCGCGTCCGGCGCCTCCATTTCCAACTTCGGCAGGACGAGTCTCGCGTGGCACCGAGGCCCGGGTCCCCGAGGCAGCGCCCCCCGCGGTTCCGCCCGGGGTCCCCTCGGCGGCGCCCGAGAGCCCACAGGCGCAGGTGCTCTCGGTCACGTGGGCTGCAAACCGCGGTGGCTCCGCGAGGCTGTGGCCGAAGCCACAGCGCGGCCAGGGCATCGAGGAGGCCGCGGCGGTGGCGAGAGGCAGGTGACGGCGGAGAGAGGGGGTGGACCGGAAGCGGGCGGCCATGCTGCGCTGGCTGCGGGGCTTCGTGCCGCCCGCCGCGGTCTGCCAGGACTACGAGGACTGCTTCAGCTACAGGATCCTCTTCGAAGACCTGGACCACAACGGGGATGGCGTGGTGGACATCAAGGAGCTCCAGGAGGGGCTGAGGAACTGGGGCTCCATGTTTGGCCCGAACTCGGAGAAGGTGAGCGACCAGAATGTGGCCCCTGCAGCCCGGAGGGAGGCCGGGCGGAGAGGAAGCCCAGCCTGCCCTTCCGGAGCATCCTTTAAAGGCCCCTAGAGTAAGGGCGGGTTCGCCTCTGAGAGCCTGGTCACGCAGCGTCACGTGGGTAATGGGGTTTGGGTACCGACACAATTCACGGCCTCTACGGTTCCAGGATCTCACGCCAGAGCACGCGTGACCTCCCGGAGGCCACGCTGGGTGCTGAGTCTGGGTCCTGCACCTAGCCCCAGCAGCAGTATGATTCGCGAGCCTGGAGGTATCGGACCCATCAGATGGTGGCAAGTGTTGTCTGGATGTTTATATGATTTAAAAATTGTGTGTGTGTGTGTGTGTGTGTGTGTATTTAGACACACACACACACACACACACACACAAACACACAGAGAGAGACACAGGCTGGTCTCGAACTAATGGGCCTCCCAAAGTCCTGGGATTGCAGGTATGAGCCACCGCACCCAGCCAGAAATGTCTGTATGTGTTATGCATATGATATTTTTCCACCAAAATAAATGAAAGAGTTCCGTTGGCTTAAAGGGGAAAAAACAGCCGGGCTCGGTGGCTCAGCCTGTCATCCCGCGCCTTTGGGAGGCTGAGGTGAGTGGATTGCCTGAGCCCGCGGGTTCGCGACCCGCCGGGGCAGGCGAGACCTCACCTCTACAATATATCAAAAAATTAGCCGGACGTGGTAGCGCATGCCTGTAGTTCCAGCTACTTGGAAGGCTGAGGTGGAAGGATCACCGGAGCCCAGCGGGTCGAGGCTGCGGTGGCCGGGAGCGGCCACTGTACTCCAGTCTGGGCGACAGAGTGAGACAACAACTCAAAAAAAAAATCAAATATGCAAATTGGAATGCAGTACAGTGTGTATTGCTGTCTGTATATCATATACAGCAATGCAACAAAAGCACATGCGTTTCACTTTTAGATTTTCTTTCATGGGGAAATAATATGATGACTAGCTTTGTTTAATATGTTTCATTAGTAATCTAGATATAATTGTTAAAATAAATAAAGTGAATATAAATGGAATTTTTTTTTTTTGAGTCAAGGTCTCACTCTGTTGATAGACTGGAGTGTAGTGGCACTATCACAGCTCCTGGCAGACTCCACCTCCTGGGCTCAGGTAGTCATTCCACCTCTGCCTCCTGAGTAGCTGGGACTATAGGCAGGTGGTACCATGTCTGGTTAATTTTTTGATTTTTTTTTTGTGTGTGTGTGTGGAAATGAGGCCTATGTTGCCCAGGCTGGTATCAGATTCCTGGCTCAAGCAATTCTCCAGCCTCAGCCTCCCAAAGTGTTTGGATTACAGGTGTGAGGCATTATGCTCAGCCTGGGATAAACATTTGTAAATAAACTTTTCATGTAATCTGCAATCTTAAAGTTATGTTGAATGAGATGCTCATAAAATATCTGAGTCATACCTAAAATTAAATACTAAAACATTAATTGCTAAACATGGATTCAAGTTTATTTACTTAAATTTTATAGACAAAAGATATTTGGGTCTATTAATAAAAATGTTCTGTTCTACATTAAAAATTGTTCTGTATTGATACCAGAGGTTGGGAAGGGTGGCATCGGTGATGAAGGTAGGATGGTTAATGGGCACAAACATGCAGTTGGATGGAAGTATTAAGTTCTAGTGTTTGTAGTATAGTAGAGTTAACAACAGTTTGTTGTATATTGCAAAATAACTGGAAGAGAAGATTTGAAGTGTTTTCAACAGAAAGAAATGATAAATGTTTGATGTGATACATATCTTAAACACCCTCATCTGATTTAATCATTATATATTGTATCATGTATCAGAATATCATACCTCATAACTATGTACAGTCATGCATCAATAAAAATTCTGAAAAAAAAAAAAAAATTCTGAACATTGTTCTATAAAATATGTTTCTAAGGATTATGAAATATATTTATTTACTCATTTATTTTTAGCTATTTTCTCTGATAAATATTTTCACATGCTATATATTTAATGGCAAACAAAATATATGTAAATAACCCACTAATAGAATTTTATTCATTTCATATCATTTTTCTTTAAAATTAGTACTCATCCTTGTTAGATGTGACACATTTGGTCTTCCTAGGGAAGAAACTATGTAAGATTCCATTTCAGTCACAGCTTTGTTTACTTCGCTATGTCTTCCGAGAACTCCTGCTGAATCTTCTACTTGTCTCTTTACTATAGTTTTACTTTTTACATATTCAGCACCAGGTAAACAAACATAATTCTCTGGAACACTCTCAGATAGACTCTCAGAATTCCAACTTGAGTCTGTATTTTCTTCTTGTCCTGATTCTAATGTGGACATCTCATCATCTATATGACTTCTGTGCACAAGAATAAAATTGTTATTATTTGTTTGTGTTCCTGGAGCACTTCAATAATACCAATACCATACTCTCTTGTTCCAGTTTCTGGCTTCACTGATCCTTCCTTGGTATCTAAACTGAAGATGCCATCATCTGATTTACAGCGCAAATCAATATCTAGTTTTACGGGAAGCTTGGTTGCATGGTCCCCAGAACTCCTATCTGCTGGACTGTTATCTCAAGAATGTTTAGACATTTTTTCATCTATACAGTTTGAAATCTTTTGGCAACTGCTATCCACACAAGAAGAAAGAGCATATCTTCTTGAAGACAGACACCACTGCCTTGCTGAAAAAAGACTCACCACACTGAATGGTCTAGGCTTGGCAGCAAGCATGAAAGGTGTTCCTTTGTCATTATCAACTGCATTCAAATTTGCTCCTTTCTTTAATAAAACTTGCACCAATTTCTATTTTTATTTTATCCACACAGCAAATAAAAGTAGTGTGATACTACTCTTGTTTTTTGCTTCAATATGTGCATCATGTAAAAGCAGGTTTTCTGCCACTGATCTATTCTGATTATACACAGCATTGTGGAGAGCAGTGAAGCCAACATACCCGAAATATTTCGATTGGTACCTTGTTCTAACAGAAGGGTTGTACATTCCTCTTTTTGGCATTGTCCGGCCACAGACACAGAAGTGTCTTGTGTTTGCTGTCATGGACATTCAGCTGGCATCTTCTTTAGTAAAAATTAAGGTGACTAAGAATTAGTTGTTCTAATTAATTTATGTAATTCTGTGTACAAAATGTACAAAAAATAATTTTTGTATAAAAAAGCATTTTATGTGGTCTTAATGATAAGGAAAAATGGAAAGTAAACTTCTGTCCTAAGGTAGAGTGATTGCTTGTTCCAGTATGAACACAGACTTGGAATCTTAGAAAATAATGGAAGATGTGAACAGGTTGTGGAGAGATTATGAAGGGTGGCTCTTGTGAAAGGAATTTTGTGTGTGATTGGTTTGACTGGGATTAGAAGGGACTTGCCCATAATTTTTTCTAAGAATTGAGCATTTGTGTTGGGGTGCACTGATATAGGACTGGACTTTAGTCCTCTATGTTGGGAGCAACACTATTTTCTTGGAATATTGATCTGCACTTGGAATATTGATTGCAAGAAGTTTTTAAAATTTTTAAATTCTGAAATCTGTTTATTTAAATTTGTAACCATTTTCCAAACTGCAGCTTTTTCCTGTTTTACAGTTGCTACCTAATTTTAAGTTGAAAATATTATATTCTTCACTTAGAATGGTAATTTCAGTTCTCAAAGTAGAGTTTCCTCTTGAAGCTTTTCAGATTCCTCTCTTAAGGGTTTGGCCTTTTGCTCATCTCATCACACGTGAGGTGCAGGTCTGCATCATTGTTTGCTGCTCTTCCTCCTCCTCTCCTTGTAAATGCCCATCTTTTTGCTTGGCTGGCTTGATGACTCTCTCCCTCAACTTTTTACTAGGCTCCTGTCACTTTTCTTCCCTTGGACTCTGCCATTGCAGCCTGACACTAAAAATATTTGTCTTCAGGGCCTAGGAGAGCAAAGTTTCCTCTCCTAGGAATTATAACTTGATTCTTTACCCTTTGCTTTTCTTGATGTGTTAAAGTGTTGTGTGAAGCCAGGAAATGGTTTTTTTAAAAGCCATGCATTCCTCTGCTCAAGATACTGGTTTTCTTGTTGACATTATTTTTCTGTAATGTGATATACACTCATAACCTTTGGATGTGCTCTTTGAGTGATTAAACCCAGATTTCTTTTCAACAGTTTCAACTTCCAGGTTATCTAAACAGGCATCCCATAAAGAGAAGCAATCACAATGCAGGCGTTTTTTTTCTTTACCCTTTTTGTTAACTGGCCTAGGAGACAAGTATTTTGTGTTTTTTCAGGGTAGTTTTCTGTGCTTCATGTTGTCTTTATTAGGTTTTTTTATTACTTTGGGAAACTGAGTTAATATGTTTTCTGTTTTATTTTTACATCTATGTAACTTTCTGCATTTGCTTTTAAGATCTTTTGTCACTCTGCTTAGTGAATGATTACTATTTCACAATGACCTATGGTCTTGTTTTGATTGAGTGTTTTGAGCCTTTTGGAAAATTGTAAAATTTATAAGTCTGATGGTCCCGATGTAATGGTATCAGTCATGATTCTGGCTGTTGTTTTAAAATACTATATGCAAAATAAGTTAACTGCAGTTTAAATTTTCTTCTTATTGTGAGGAATTCTCATCAGATTTTTAACCATGGCTATTATAACTTTTGTCATCTACAGTCTGATTCTTTTCTAAAGACGTCTGCAGTCAGATTCATGGAAAAGACTCTAAAAAGTACTCTTGAATACAGGTTTCTGATATTTTAAAAATCAATGAACTAAATAAAAATTTCCAGAAGTCAAACGAAAAAACTTCAGGGTTCATGAAACTGTTAGCCATGATCAAGCAGAGCAAGAATAAAGAATGGTACTAAACTAATAAAAGATTATGATTTTTATGACTTTTATTTGACACATTTCTGGCTCTTTAATGGTTTGTTTTCCAGATTAAAAAAAATTCTTTTAAGGTACCTGTGGCTTCTAGCAGTTTGGTAAAGTACACTTTTGTAAACCGGATTGAAATATTCACTTCTTCTCCCTTATCTGATTCTTCCAAAAATTTGAAAACTGTTTATGAATATTTTTAGATTTAATGATGATATAGTTATTTACATACATTTAATAAACATTTGTTCTCTTTATAACAGGATGCATTTGAAAACATTAATTATAAAGCAAGGTTTGGCTAGGATATCATTTAAACTTGTTTATAAGGACTGCCTTATTTGGCTTTCTAGCCTCAAAAATTAAAAAAAGTCCAACTTGAGATTCATTCAGTGTTATTACCATACTTATTTACATAATAAAGCAAAACTTGATAAAACTAAATTTATTTTACAAAAATATTTGCCTTATTCTGATTATCTTTGGTAAAAAATCAAGATGACTACAGAGAGAAAAGTTACTTGCTTAAAAGCTCATTAGATTTTAGCCCTGGGTATTGTTTTTGAGGTTTTGCTATGTACTTAATAAGATTCATAATTATTTGGAATGGCATGGTGGCTATTGTGACTATACAATTGCAGAAATTAAAATCACTTAATATGCTTAGCCCTGCAGCTGTGACAAAAAAGCTAGGATAATGGGTGCTTATGGAAATCATAATTACTGTGAGTGAAATGTGCAAATGTTAGCATGTTATAGTGGCTTTATTGATGATACATCTCTGCATGATATTCTTCTTTTTTACAGAAAATTTTTAAGGCTGGAAATGCTAACAATGATTCAGGATTGGACTTTGGAGAATTTATACGGTACCTTCAAGACCATGAGAAAAAAATGAGACTGGCATTTAATAGTCTGGACAAAAATAGTGATGGTATGTGTTTGTGTTTTATCCACAGTTAGCTCAATATGAATAATAACTGTCAGTATAAAGGATACTTTTACCAGCCTTTAATTTACTCCTACTATCTAAGATTCAGTTATTTCTCCTAATTTTATTGCAGTAATTTAAAAATGTCTAAGAATAATGCATAGACTATATTTATTAATATTATAATTCCTGTGGGGTTGCCATCTTTTTAATAAAAGATGTTTGTTGGAAGGCTGTGTCTTCTGAATGTACAGCTTTGCTTAGTGAGTAGGCCTTTCCACTTTTTTTGCACTATATGAACTTAAAGTGCTAAAAAAAAGACATTTATTATCTTGCTGATTATGAAATGAAGACATTTATTATCTTGCTGTAACTAAAAAAAAGACATTTATTATCTTGCTGATTATGAAAATGTATTGGTTTCAGGAAAGTTAGATAACACAGAAAAGGTCTTGGAAATCAGTAAAAGTTGCTTGCAGTCCTGCTAGCTAGAAATCAGTTTTATAATTTTGATACGCTTCTATATTTTATTTAGATTTTTTTGGTCTGTTTCTTTCTTGGTTTCTTTCTCTACTTTCTCTTCTCTTTAGATTAAATTGCACTCACACTCTATGTATAGTTTTGTGTTCTGCTTTTTTCTTTTAGTGTTATATTTTAAGCATTTTCTTGTTTTTTAATATTCTTCATGAACTTAATTTTTAATGGCTGTGAAATATTTCATCTGTAAGAGTTATGAGTTACATTGTTAGACATTTAGAATGTTTTCAATCTTTTGCAAATAGTGCTGCAATCAATATTCATGCTGATTTGCAGAGGAAAGGTATATTCTATTGCACCTGTTACAAATCTTTTAATCCTTTCTCTCTTCTCTTCTTTTTCTCTCCCTCCCTTCTTCCCTCCCTTCCTTTCTCTCTCTTTTTCCTTCTTTTTCTTTCCTTCATAAAAACATTTATTTTACATTAATAAGCAGGTAATTTAACATCAAAATATGTTCATAAGAATATCTAAATGATGTACGTTAGTGTAATAGGATAATCTCATTCTCTTGTTTTGGGCGAGAAAGGCTTTTCTATTACAAATCTTTAAAGCAGTGAGATTAAATCTGAAAGTAGAATATCACCTCTGTATCCACATGTAGCTAAATCTCCGTGGATAATTAGAACCTACTTAAGAAATATATATGCTAACTTTTAAGTTGGATGAAATATGATTTCTGTTGATTGAAAGTTTCTCAGTGTACCTAAAAGCTGTTTAAAGGATTCTTTTGATGTATTCTTGAGTGAAACCAAGTGTAATCTGAATGTCTTAGCCTTTAGCAACCTGTGGGTACAAAAGTGGTTAAACTTCCCTTAGTATTCACATGTCAGTGCTCCAAGACCCAGAGCACTAACGAATATCTGTGAATTAGACCTGGTCATCAGTTGCTGCTGATCTCGGGCTGCCAGTTCTAGCTAGTGCTATTCTGAAATTTTACTCTGTTATTGATTGTTACCACCATGATCATCATTTGTGAGACTGAAAAGCCACTGTGTCACAATAATCAGTGAAATTAGAATGCCATTGATAAAAACATAATGTTCCTGTTGTTCCTGGTAAAGCTGCACATCAGTGTTTGTAGATCTTGGTAATGGAGAATACTTTTTATGAGGCAAATAAGTCCCACAGCAAGGAGGACATCCCACAGTAATATGGTAATATAGCACTATAGCTTTTTAAATTTCTCTCTTGACTAGTCAAGCTGGAATGTCACAGCTCAGTCCCAGAAGTCCTGCAGGGATACCATTTCAGAAGAGTTATATTCCTATTCCACCGGCTTCATTTGTTTTGAGCCCCTGGGGTGTAACAGTAGGTAGAGTTGATTCTACTGGGGCCACTTGGGCTGCTGCCCTCCTGGACTGCAGAGCTCAGGCTCCAGCGGCCCTGCTGAGGGGCTGCTTTGATGGGGCTGCCTGTTCTCTTGCTGCTCTCTGTGTTGCCACTGCTGCTGATGCCTCGGTCACCATCTGTGTAGATCGCAGCTAGTTTACCCTGGTCAGGATGCTTTTTGAGGGTGAGAAAGAGAGTATCTCATCTGTCATGGGCTGCTATGGTTTGAACATTTGTCCCCTCCAAAACTCATGTCAGCAATATTGGAAGGTAGGGCCTTTAAGAGGTCATGAGGATTATGAGTATTCTGCCCTTGTGAATGTATTAATCCATTCCTGGATTAATGGGTTATCATGGAAATGGGACTGGTGACTTTATAAGAAGAGGAAGACAGACCAGAGCGAGCAGCTCAGCCCCCTCACCATGTGCTGCCTGGAGACTGCAGAGTCCTCACCTTCAAGAAGAACCTCATCAGCTGTGGCCTCTTGACCTTGAACTTCTCAGCCTCCATAATTGCATAAATAAATTCATTTTCTTTATGAATTATCCAGTTCCATGTATTATAAGCAGAGAAAACAGACTAAGACATAGGCTTCATTGTGTCCCCTCAAAAAAAGGTGTTGGAAGTTCAGTTACCTCAAAATGTGACCTTCTTGGAAATAGAATTTTTCAAGGATAATCAAGTAACCATGAGGTCATTAGCGTAGGCCCTAATCCATTATGAAGGTGTCCTTATAAAGGGAAATTTAGACACAGAAACAGACATACACAGAGGAAGACAATGTGAAGAGTGATAGGTGATGACAGAATCAGGATGGGAGTGATACATTCACAAGCCAAGGGACACCTGAGGCCACCAGGAGCCACGAGAGGCTCAGAGCAGACTCTTCCCTAGTGTCATCAGAGGGAGCATGACACAGAGACCCACTATTGTCTGTCCATATTGCCACAACCCTAGAAAAGGGCGTGGCAAGTGTTTCAGCAGGCTTGCTGGGCTTGCACGTACCCACATTCCTGAGAGTTAACAAAAGGAGTGTCTCCACTTATCTCCTATGCACGCCTAGTAAATAACGTCAAAGAATCCTTGACTTCCCTTCAGACTATGCCCAATTAACTGAGAGATGTAAATTCCCAGTTACTCCCCTTTCTTAGTAGTCATAGTTTGAATAAAACAGTGCCAAGGTAATCATAAGTCTTGTGATTTGTATAACTTTATTTTATTTTATTTTTTTTGAGTTGGAGTCTCACTGTCACCCAGACTGGAGTGCAGTGGCTGCTCCCGGCCACTGCAGCCTCGACCTGCTAGGCTCCGGAGATCCTTCCGCCTCAGCCTTCCACGTAGCTAGAACTACAGGCGTGCGCTACCACATCCGGCGGATTTTTTATTTATTGTAGAGATGAGATCTTGCCAAGTTGCCCAGGTGGGTCTCGAACCTGCGGGATCAGGCACTCACCTCAGCCTCCCAAAGGCGCGGGATTACAGGCTGAGCCACCGAGCCCGGGTGATTTGTATAACTTTAGAAGCAATGTAATCTTAAGTCTTGTCATCTGTATAACTTTTGCATCTAACATCTTGTAGTGATGTATGATGACTTAGACCTTGTTAACTCCCTTTATGGCAAGGTTGATTAACACTTTGGCCTGGTGTTACCGATAAGATACTGTGAGATACCTCTGGTAACTGGCGCCAGGAAATGTGAACTAAAAATGTCATTATTGACAAAATGCAGCTGTAACTTAAATTCTGTGCAATTCTCTGATAGTCACATAGTCAATGTATAGGTTTCAACAACCCTGAACTTATAAAAGTGGACCGTAAGACTTGAAGTGTGAGCAGAACCACTTTAGAAAGGTTAGGAGCCAGATTCTGCTCCCTGGATTCGAATTCAGAAATAAACTTCTTTCTACCAGTTTTTCTGCCTCTTGATGTATTGGTGTCGAGGGTTAGCAGCCAAGCATTACTCAGACCATAACAAGAATGGCCCTGCTGACACCTTGATTTTGGATTTCTGGCTTACAGAAGAGTGAGACTAATTCCTGTTGTCCCAAGCCACCTGGCTTGAGGTACTTTGTTATGGCAGCCCTGGAAACTCATATATTCCCCTGTGTTATGCTTTAATGAGAAGGTGTCTGATGATGGACTATCTTGGGCCTTGCAAAGTAACAGTTTTTTAAATTTTTTATATACTCACAGCCACTTTCTCCCAGAATTTACAAGTGCTTACAGGGTAGCTGGAATAAGGTAATTTCTGGTATCAGGTGCCTTGACCCCGAAGCTCACATTTCCCCCGCAGTTCTCTTATTGGGCTTGGCTCACTGCATCAGATCTGATTCCCTCTGACCTTCCTTACTTCATTGTTTCTCTTGGGACTCCCCCCCCACCCCCATCTCACATCTATATGTGTTCAATACTAAAGGCAGACAAAATTCCATTTTTATTGCCTTCTGCCCAGCTGCCTAGGAGGATTTCCAGGCCTTATGGAGGCAAATGGATGCATGTGGCTGGTGTATGTACCATCAGTCTTGCTAGCTGGTAGCATTCAAGCCCCAGTGTGAACTGCTCTGTTTAACTTCTCTCACCAAGAAGCATTTGAGCCCTTTTCTCTGTTCGGCCAAAATGTCCATGGAATGCTGTTGCAAATATGTGAGTGAAGTAATTGTGAAATATAATGTCATCATTAAGCTGCTTTGGATGGAGTTTTTGGGGGATTGAGGAAATGGAGGGAAAGGAATGAACGTTTCTTAGACTTTCCTACCTGTCGTGGCTGTTCTAGCTACTTTACCTTCTATGTCTTAGTTTTATCTCACACAATCCTCACAGAAGCTACATTGTACAGTTGAAGGTATGAGCGCTTAGGAAGGTTAAATAATTTTACTTCCATTGGCTATCCCAAAGCAGGACTCATGTCCTACACTGACCAGGCCTTGGACATTTGACTTGTTTCAGCCATTGAGATGTTAGCAAGTTTTTTTTTTTTTTTTTTGAGTCAGAGTCTCACTCTGTCGCCCAGGCTGGAGTGCAGCGTCATGCTCATAGCTCACCATAGGAGATCCTTCTGTTTCAGCCTCCTGAGTAGCTGGGACTACAGGGGCATTCCATCACACCCAGCTAAGTTTTTAATTTTTTGTAGAGATGAGGGTTCACTATGTTGCCCAGGTGGTCTTGAACTCCTTTTAATCCCCAACTGTTGTACATTCTCATCTGAGATGAGGGATGTGTTTGAAGCCATCTTGGCCAACTGCAGTTGAACTACAGATAACAGGTAACTGAATTCACATGAATGGCCCAGGCCAGACTTGCAGAACCAACCAGTTGAAGCAAGCTCATATTGCATACTCACAATCAAATACATTTTTTTCAAACCACTGAATTTTGGGGTGGTTTGTTACTTAGCAATAGATCACAGGTACAGGAATGGAATATTTTGCAGGTCCACCTGGAATTACAATGCTGGAGTGGTTGCAACTCTCTCCATTCTAAATAACGACTTTCCACTGAATCCGTTTCCAGTCCATTTTCTCAGTGAACTCTTGCTGCATGTAATTGAAGACAACATGCAATGTCCCTTTCAATCCATTGACCTTGACTATATTTTGAGTTGCATTTTACCTCTTTTTTCCCCATCTTCACCTGAATTTTAGAGTATTTAGGGTAATGATTATTTAATGTATTTTAGTTCGATCAAACAGTATTTAAGCATTATATGTGATACTAGTACATTAGGAACAGTGTTGGCAAAGGTCTTCAGAAACACAAAACATACATTGCCACAAGGTAGACTATGAAATTGTTATAAAAGTGATACATGAAGAACTTAATTGTGCCTAGGGACAATTTAGATTTGTACAGGGTTAACATAGAAACAAATGGAAAGAAAGGGTTTCTTGAGCAGAGACAATAGCTTGAACAAAGGCATAATTGGGAGATTATCAGACAAGGTCAGAACTGGTTGAATGGCATTTCAGGTTTAGCCCCAGTTTACTATTCTTGGAAATAGTTTTATTGATATATAGCACATACAGCAAAGTGCATAAATAAATGAAAAAAGCTCCATGATTTTTCACAAGGCAAATACAAGGTGAGAGCATCCAGATTAAGAAGTAGAATATTAGCCAGGCTCGGTGGCTCAGCCTGTAATCCCGCGCCTTTGGGAGGCTGAGGTGAGTGAATTGCCTGAGCCCGTGGGTTTGAGACCTGCCTGGGCAGCGAGACCTCATCGCTACAATAAATTAAAAAAAAAAAAAAAATCAGCTGGGTGTGGTAGCGCATGCCTGTAATTTTGGCTACTCAGCTGAGGTGGAAGCATCGCCGGAGCCCAGCAGGTCGAGGCTGCGGTGGCCAGGAGTGGCCACTGCACTCCAGTCTGAGCGATCGAGTGAGACTCCAACTCAAAAAAAAAAAAAAAAAAAAGAAGTAGAATATTACTTGCATTTCAGAAGCATCTCTTTTGTGCCCCTTTCAAATTATTATCTCTTCCAGGTACCTACTGTCCTGCTTTCTAATACCATATGTAGGTTTGCAATACATCTTTGTTAAGTAAGTGTACCTTGTGCACAGTGTTTCTCTTATTGAAATGTTTTGTTTTTTTGGTAGTCTCTTGTTTATCCTTTATAGTAGCTCACTGGTGACTCTGGTTTTTCACTCTATTATTTATCCTTCCATTGCACTTTATCCATCACTCTTCTATTAACATACATTTAGCATGGTGTGATATAATTTAAAGATAATTTGTGCATACATACAAATACTCTTTGGAAGTATTTATTAATTTTTAGATTCTCTTGGCTATCAAATTTTTAAATATTATTAAACTGAACTGATGAGTATAATGTTTGAAGATTATAAAGCAAAAGGTCCAGCCTTTCCAGTTGAAGAAACTGGTTTCTAGACTGAGTAAATTCCATGCCGTGGAGCTCGGAACACTAGGGGCCTCAGAACCATTGCAAAGAGTCTCAGATTCTATATATGAATAAAGGGCTTTGGCTATTGGCTAAATAAGGAATGTCTCATATGTATGTGTGTTCTGTTTATAAATGTACGCAGCTGTGGTTCATAAATAAAAACTAAAGATGTGAAAAATTTATAATAGCTCTTTGGCATTGTGTGTCTTTCAAATAAGAGACACTAAAGATTTTTTTTTTTTACTTAAAAATGTCCTCATGTTTTAAAAGATTGGATATCTTCAACTATTTGCTTGATACAAGGGAGGTATCAAAGTTTTTTGGACTTGGAAAATGATATAATTAGATTTGTGTTTTAGAGTTTGATGAGAATATAGAGTACTTAATTTTCTCTTCATAACATCCAGCAATGTGAGAATGAAATTCACAGTGGGCTTATATGAAATGTATTAGTTGATTTGAGTTATTTAACGTAGAATATGGTATGTTAAAAGAGCCTGAGTTATTTAACGTAGAATATGGTGTGTTAAAAGAGCCTAGTGTTGTATTTTATGAATGTTGTTTCTTTTACATCTTACCTTATAAAATATTGAGTGACCTTGTTTTCACGCCCCTGAATCACATCTTTAGAATCAGCATTTACACTTATTTCCAGATAGGTACAATAATCAAGAATTTGTTATAGAACTATAATTTCTTATTGGAAACTCTCAGAACCAGTTGTTTTTTGAAATTTAAAATTTGTATTTTAGAGAAATAATGCAGTGCATATATGATGTATTGTGTAAGACTCCAAGTGGAGTATGGGGAGCTACCATGCAGTTATATACATGAATATTACTGCAGTGAAACAAGAATGTTCACACTAAATTAGATACATAATCGACTACAACATATGCCTCATGTTAGTTTAAGGTGGGTTTTGCCCCCAAATCAACTTTGGTCTCCAATTTTCCCAAAGTTTTGTAGTTTTTAGAGTTTTTTTATGCTTTGAGTTGTAGATATGGGATTATTGACCAATAAAACGCGTGGACTTTTAAGGACTTTTGCATTCTAAGTATATTTTGCCTTATTATTCTTTCAGATAGTTTAACTTGACTTTTTTTCATTTTTTAAAGGAGTAATAGACACTTCAGAAATAATTGCTGCTTTGAAATCTCTGGGTATGCATATTTCTGAAACTCAGGCAGACGCGATTCTGAAAAGGTCAGCCCTTATCTTTATTTTTAATGGTTTTTATTTGTGTTTTATACTCCATGTTAGAAACTAGTTGCCATACATGTGATATTTCCTCCCTTATTCTGTAACTTTGTGAACCAGCCTACTTCTCCTATTTGCTTAATTCTGTCTCACTTTGAATCTGTCCCTTCAGAATTATCTTGCAAAGTCATTCCCTAGGGTGACCATTTAAGGAGCAGGAACCAAATGAAACCGCTCATTCTGCCAGTGTAATGGCCTTCCACACTGTACTTAGTGGGCCCTTCTGTGTGTGTGTGTGGGAGAAGGGATGGGAACCCAGGTCAGAATGAGCTTCTGGCATCCCACTATTGCTTGAACTAAACAGTTCTGCATTCATTTGTTTTATATCTTAAGCTTTCAGGAAGATTTCTTTTGAAGAAAGGATTCTGTGGTTGAAACTACTGCACTTTTATGTAAAAAGACACGAGGAAGCGGGGCGTAGAGGAAGGCAGAGGGAGGAGAAGAAACCTAATGTTGTCTGGATCTTCCTGCTCACCCTTCCTTCACCTGCCACTGTCTCATCTCCCAATTAAACACACAGGCTTGGTGGTAGCATGCTCATTCTCAAACTTCCCTTGACTTGTGAATTTAGCTCTGAGATCACTCTAAGATTCTCCTGAGGTGGTATATGGGTTCTCAAACCTACTCTTTCAGCTCATCCCTTAAATTACACCAGGATTTGCTCATAATGTTGCCAAGTGTCTGGTGCTTTGATATGTCCTCGCATAGAGCAGATTGTAACTGGGTTAGAATGGCAGGGTTGATGGTATCTGTGACTTTAAAGAGTCTCAAGCAGTGGTCTTCCAGTTTTTAACAAGGGTGGGAGATGTGTTTATAGCCGAGAAGAACCTGATAAGTTGTGGTTTGGGGAAGTGGAAGGTCAGAAGCCATATGTGTCATATAAGATAACTTCAAATATAATACTTTGAATTTTGGTAGCTATATTTCTTTCTTTCCAATCCTTATACCTTTGATCAATTAATTTTTCTATTCTTGTTGTAATGATGTTGAATAAAAGTAGTAACAATGGGCATCCAGTCCCTTTCTTGATCTTGAAGGGAACACTTCTAATATTTACCACTAAAAGTGAATTTTAATCTTCATCATTTAAGGAAGGTCCTTTCTCCTATTTTTGCCAAGAGATTGTTTTTAAAAATTATAAATGGGTTTAGATTTGTGAAGTGATCATATACATCTTTCTTTAATCTGTTAGTGGGGTGAATTAATTTATAGATTTTTTTCTTTGTTAGCTCATCCTTACATTCCTGGGATAAACAGAACCTTTTAAAAAATATTCTGAAGGATTTAATTTGCCAAAATTTTCTTTGTAGCTTTTTCATTTATGGGATTCTTTGTATTATCTTCTCAGTTTTTCTGAAAATCTAAAACTATTCTAAAACAGTCTATTAAAAAACAATATGAAAATACAGTGATATTCATGAAGTCCAAGGAGTGGCTCCAACAATAAATATTTAAGAAGTATTTCATTAATTTTTAAAATGGTGCTAACTTTGATATTAATGTTGTAAGTACTATTTTTTTTTTTTAATTTCAGCATGGATACTGATGGGACAATAACAGTAGACTGGGATGAATGGAAGTACTACTTTTTACTTCATCCTGCAACAGATATCACTGATATCGTTCGTTTCTGGAAGCGTTCTAGTGTAAGATTACTTTTGTATTCTGCTCTGTTTTTATTTTGCCCTGAATGTCACAGCTGTTATTATGATACTTTTTTCCCTTTATAGTACTTGCTGCCTCAGTGGCTAAAGTTACAGAGTTCTCCCCTAATAATGTTCTGCTGATAGCAGGGGATGTTATTATTATATCTACAGACACGGCCCCACAATTTCTTTGCAAAAACCTAGAACCGAACATAGATATTCATCTGCTGAAAGTGCCTACTTTGTGTTAAGTTGATTACTATGATATGGTAGCTAGACTGCCCTAGAAAAATGAAAAATGGTATATTTTTCTTTTCTCATAGATATGATGTGTCCTATTAGATCTTCTATCATGGGAAATATAAAGTCAAGTATTAGAATTTCAGTTTTAGAGTCAGAAAGAATCAAATAGGTAATCTACCTGCTATTCTGTATAAGCACTTGACTTGCAATTGTAAGGAACAAGGAGATCTTTTAGTTCAAGACTTCCTTTCCTTTTTGGATCTCACGCGCAGGGGGATGCATTACGCATGGGTTCATGGCGTGCTTTTCTCATCGGCCCTCCTGAGTCTTTGCCTCCTCTCCATGGATCATACAGGGAAGGGGAAAGAGCACACACTCTAGAGTCAGACAGACTCAGCTCGAATCCCATCTGCTGCTAACTACGTAACCTGCTCTGTGCCTCAGTTTCCTCAGTTCTATAGTAGGAATAACAGCAAGAGTTTTGAGAATTGAATCTGAACATTAGTTAGCATATTTAATACAGGGATGAACACATAATAATGCATGTTCAATAAATGTTAATTATCGCGATAGGCACTCATTGTAATATATTTAATCTGTCTTCTTGAATTTTTATATGTTTTAGGGAGCATGCAGTGTTTCACATGTGTGTTGCTGATTTATATAGATAGTATCGTATTAGAGTCCATATCTGATTTCTACTTTATGATTGGTCCTTGATGCTATATATTCATCTAATTTATTGCCTTTTACTATTTATAGTATGCATTTATCACATCTTCCTTGTCCATTCTCCTAGTAATGGACTTCTAGGCTTTCTCCACCTCCCCACACACAAAAAATGCTTTTCTCTTATGTACCTTAGAGAATTTCATGCAGGCTTCTGAGTCATAGGAAATATGCACTTGTACATTTTACTAGGGTAGTCTCAGTTTTAATTTTATGAACTATTGCCATATTGTTTCCCAGAATGACTTGCTAGACCAATCTACATTTCCGCCAGCAATGAATGAAGGTTTCTGTTTCTTTGCATATTGTTTGTTGCTTGGTTATTATTTTATTTCCCATTATTAATATTATTCAGTTTTCTAATATTTACCATTCCATTGGATATAAAGTGATACTTCATTGTTTTAATGTGCATTACTTCAATCCCTAGTACATTTTGAGCATCTCTTCATAGAAATAGCAGATCTTCACATGTTCTTTTCTGTTTTTATCCTTTGTCTGTTTTTGATGGGTTTTCTGTCTGGTTCCTGTTGTTTCCCATTAGTTATATATTTATTCTAGATATTAATTCTTGTTGTACTTAGACTTGCAAATGCTTTTTTCTAGTATGTCATTTACGTGTTGTTCATTTCTTTGTTCTGTCGATGATATTCTTAGCAGAGCAGAAATCCTTAATTTTTGGTAAGTAAATCCATACAGAATGTAATGGTTTACCATTTTGGCATCTTCTTTAAAATGTACTTCCCTACCTCTTGGTCACAGAGATGTTCTGTCTATCCTCCTATTAGCTCTGTTATGTTTGAATACCTCTTCTATTCCTCTTTTACGTTAAGATCTTTAATGCATCTGTATTCCACATTTGTATGTTTCAGGTAGGACTCTGTTTTATTATTTCTATATATTGAAGAAAATTTCCCGATATAATCTAAACAGTTAATTCTTTCCACATTCATTTGTGGTACCACCTTTCTCATATATAAAGCTTCTATATATTCTTGTATATCTTCTTGAACTTTCTTTTCTGCTCTATTGTTTCTTTGATACTAATATTGAACTGTTTTTATAACGATAGCTATATAGTATAATACTGATCTGGTAAAATAAATACTCGCTCACTGATTTTTTTAATAAAAATTAACCTAGTATTTTTAATGGACCTTAATTTTTCCCACCTTGATTTTAGAGTTTCTTTATTTCAACTACATATTTTTTAGAAAGTGATTGTGATTATATTTGTCTTGGTCTGGGGTGGCATAACCAGTTACCAGAGGCTAGGTAACTGAAATAACAAGCAGTTATTCCTCACCGTTCTGGAGACTGGCAATTTAAGATCAAGGGGCTGGCAAGGTTGGGTTCTCAGTGAGTGCCCCTTTCCTGGTTTACAGAGAGCGCTCTTTTCTCTATGCCTCACATGGTGGAAAGAGAGCTAACTAGCTTTCTGGTCTCATCTTATGAAGGCACTAATCCCATTCTTAAGGGCTTCACCCTAATTATCTTCCGAAGGCCCTGACTCCAGATGCCATCACATTTGGATTAGGATTTCAGCATGTGGATTTGTTGTCATACACATATTCAAATCCATTGCATTCTGCCCCTGGTCTCCCCAACATTCCAAAATTCATGTCCTTCTCATGTGCAAAATAAATTCATTCCATGTCAACTGCCCCCAAATTCTTAACTTGTTCCAGCATTAACTCTGTTTTATATTAGTGGTCTATTCAGTAATGTATTGATCTGTGACAAATCTGGTATGTTCTGTGTTCTTGGAGTAGTTGGAGAGATGGTGGGGCCCTGAGTCTCCAAAGCCTCAGTACACACTACTGCTTTAGGGAGCTGATTCCAGGTTCATATCTGATGTCCTCTCCTAGTGAAAGGAGGATTCCTTTTCTTTCCTAATGTTATTTTCTTGTGTGATTCAAATCTAAACTAGTGGCAAGCCTAAAACAGTCAATATAATGTCTCCCTTCCCTTAGGCCCTGCTTGAATCACTGGGTCGTTAAAGACTGTGTTCTGAGTCGGGTGGTTGAGAGCAGACTAAACTGTCTAGGTCAGAGTACTGGCTTCACTACTTATTAGCCATGTGCCTTTGAGCACGTTATATAATTTCTTTGTGACTCCACTTCTTACCTCTAAAATGGGGAGAATAATGCTAGGGCCTACCTCACAGAGATATGAACATGAACCCTTTGCACTTGGAGAGATCTCACGGATCACCTACCAGCAACTTGGCCATGCTTTTTGACAAAATAGTGAAAAATGAATCACTTCATATTAAATACTATAGTGTCAGAACCATTTATTTTATTGTAATGATAGTTGGCTTATAATGGAATTTTGAACATCTGGGGAACTTATTTATGACAAAAACCCCACAAAATTGTATATCTTATATTTTCCTAACATGTGGTGGTAACATGTGAAACAGTCACTGACATGCACTGCAGGTTCTTTGATGCATGTAGTGCAGTAGTCATGTGTTTGACGTCTTCCACCTGGTATTTTTCTATTTGAGCAGACAATGCAGTCTCGTTTTCTTCCTCCCACATTAATAATATATAGTTTATTGTCCAGTCTGTGTACCACTGTGAAAGCACTTTGCACATTCTGTGTAATGCCGGCTGATGTTTTCTAACATATATTTCAGTATATAGTCCATCTCTTTATTTGCTTTTACATGAAATTTGAATGGAAAACTTTAAGGAAACATACACTGTTGAAAAATTTGTGCTGGCATAAGTTTGTCCTGTATAATCACCAGCAGCCTCTTTGTGTTTCCTGAGATGGGACATCCAAGTGACTTGCAAGATTTGCAGTGTCCCTGAGAGCGGACATCTGAATGCAAGGAGTTAAATGAATTAGTACAGCCAAAGCCATTTGGAACACTGCCTGCCACGGAGGATGCACTCAGCCGATATTAGCTGTTGTTATGATTATTATTTTAAAATTTATTTATTTATTTGATTCGGAGTCTCACTCTGTTGCCCAGGCTGGAGTGCAGTGGCATGCTCATGGCCACCGCAGCTTTGACCTGCTGTGCTCAGGCCATCCTTCCGCCTCAGCCTTCCAAGTAGCTGGAACTATGGGCATGTGCCATCACGCCTGGCTAATTTTTCTTGAGTTGTTATATAGATGAGGCCTCGCCAAGTTGCCCAAGCTGGTCTTGAACTCGTGGACTCAGGCAATCTTCTTACCTCGGCCTCCCAAAGTGCTGGGATTATAGGTGTGAGCCACTGCGTCTGACCTAGTATTATTTTTTTAACCCCACAAACCAAGGAAGATTTTTAGGGAAGTAACCTAAGGAAGAAAGAATGATCCCCCCATGCAAAAAAATAAGATAAAGAACTATTGTCCCAGTTTAGTTTAGTTTAAAAAAAAAAACTTCTTTATCTTTCTATTGGAAGTAAAGAGGAAGACAAATGATTGGTTATTAAAATTTGATAAATGTTATTTAACCAGGTAGTAGTATAATTTGGACTAGAACTTTGATCTATCTTTTGATATGTAACCAGTAGGTAGTTTTCTTAAGCTAGACATGCTGATTTTATAATTCTTTGGACAAGGAGATATTTTCTGAAGTTTTATGGATACCTCAAAATGCCAAGTTATAACAAGTTATAATCCAAGTTATAACAAGTGAGGTAGATTGTATTATATGTTCTAAATATCCTCTGTCCCTCTCTTTTTGTGACTCTTTGGCATCTCTGTGTAGTAGGAATTTGCTTCCTACCTCACTGATGGCAGGTTTGCTTTGGCAAATGAAGTGTGAATGGAGTTGACACAAATCAAGGCAGAGCAGAAATTTTGAGCCTTATTATTTGGTTCCACCCTTGCTCTTTCACTCTCCCTCAAGACAGGCACATCACATGTAAAGACTTCCTTTGAACCTGTATCTTGGAAAGAAGATGTCATGGAGCAAAGCCACAGTCAGTTTGTGGAGTATTTGTAATGTGAGTAGTGAAACTTGGCTTTTATAAGCCATGGAAATTTTTAGGGTTGCTTGCTACTATCATACAAACTAGTGAAAACTG